TTAGGTCCCAGGCATCCCTGTTATCATTTCATATAGTCAGGATTTTTGTGCAATTCTATGGTACATTCACGGCCGAAAGATGTAGGGTTTATTTTTATCCACCATTTTAGGAATCTCACTGGGATTTTGAACATATCCACAATGCACACAAGGGTCATGTTGTACAGTATTACTTGAGGTAAATTCCTTTCCTAATTTCGTGTCTCTAGGTTTCTTTCTTGGGTACACAACGCTACCCCCAAACCCATTTCACACCCCAGATTTATATCAGGCATWTTCAAAGAGGAACCTCAAAAGTGCCAGAGCTTTTTCCAAAGCGGCACTCAGGGCTTTTGCTTCTTCTGTATCCTTTAAGGCAGTGCCATGCAACCTGCTCACCATGTCACTCACTTTCTCCATATTTTGGTTTATAGCAAGGGAAACGTGCTTTTGGAGAACAGCAAAAAGTTCCTGAGTCAAAGAAGATTCACGGGTCCCACCAGTGGGATTCATTCGCTATTTTTTATGGGGAGGTTCTGAACCCTCTCCTTCCGTCGGAGCCGGTTCACAGCCAGGGAGACTTTCCCCAGAACTCTCTGCAGACCTTGTGCCTTCTGTCAGTGGTAGGTCCCRTCTTCTATTTTGAGTGGTGGGCTCTTGTATTTGAAGGGCTTTGCTTAGATCGTCTGCCGCCTGAAATTCAGAATAATAATATTGAAATACAGACACATCAGGTCATACTACTGAAATATGAATTAAGTTGAATTAGTTCAGATTCTGTAACCACAAACATAAAAATCAATTACTATTGTATTTAAATATCCAATCTTTAAAAAAATTATCTGTGAGATATGATGAAACCAGGAATAAAAACTCATTTTCTCACTCAAAGACCASTGTCTCCCTAAACACAGGAGCACCAAGGACTCACCAAGTGGCCAGGATCCTGAGCTGCCAGGGTGTGTTGTTGAGAGGTCCGGGGGGTTGGCAGAGGTGAGAGCTATCCTGGAGACAAAGGCTGCATTAGGATTTGAGCTGGTGCTGCCACTTGATGCTTGTCYTAAAGGTGTGCTTTGCCCCTGCAGAGTATCAGGCTGGAATCCCGGAGAAGAGACCGGGGYGGGCAGAAAAGGCGCCACTCCCAATGGGATTTGGGGCTGGGCAGGTAGTATGCCAACCACAGTGGATGCAGGAAACTCATAGTAAGGAACAGATGGCTGGTGAATTGGAGAACAAGAGAGCTGGCTATTTTGAGGGCTTATCATATTCAGCGAGTTGGTGACAGCAGCACCTGGAACATCTCCCTGCTGAAAAGAAGTGCAAATAGTGGCATGCAAAAACTGATTAGGAAAAGTTAAAGATACCTTCCCAACTTCACCACAGGACCCAAAACAATGCTATCCATTCCTGACTGCTTCTATCCACCTGTTCTTTTTATTTTAAAAAGCTTTTGCCATCCATAAGCCATACAAACTTACTTCTATATATGTTGAAGTATGTACAGTATTCCCTCACTTATCATGGGTGTTCCGTTCCAGGACCACCTGTGATAAGTGAAAATCCACAAAGTAGGGATGCTATATTGATTTTAATATTTATACATTATTTTAGCATCGCTATTTTGCAGATTTTCTTACCACGCTTCCTTACCTGCCTCTGGAGCCTGCAGGCAGCAGCAGGCCAGAGAGGCAGGCCTTCCCCGCTGCGCCTC